CAGATAGGGTTAACACCACCTGACTCCTTTCTTAAAATTAATCCATTGGACTGGGTCAACCCAACCCATTTTCCTTCTCTTCTAACCCACTTCTAATTTTCCTCAAAATAATTAAATAAAATAAATACATGTATATTATAAAATATTTTTTCTCTATAATAATAATATATTTCTGACCCTAAATATAATAATATAATTTCAATAACAAAATATCATATAAAATCAACCTTCTCTTAAAACATATAAATATTTATTTAAAAATGCTAATAAAAATACTTATTTAATACGTACAAAATAATTGTCCAAAATAATAATTATTTAAAACGTACAAAATAATATTCCTCTATGATTATTAAAATAAATATGACCAAATACCATCTAATAATAATAATAATAATAATAATAATAATAATAATAATAACCTTTTTGAAAATTGGGGTGTTACAGTATTCCTCGCCAGTCCCTCGCTAATTAGCGAGGAAATAGCTTGGATTTATATCCCTCGCTAAATTCCCTCGCTAATCCGCGAAATTCTTGTAGTGAAAGGTTATAGTACAACTAGTAACTAGCATCAAATATATATACATGCCATATACAAAATACAATATTAGGTGCAAAATAAACCTAGGTGTCGATCAATATCTATACGAAATCCAATTATATAAGAGTAGCCATCAAAAAAATTAGCCATTTCTGTAGACACTCAATTTTGTCCGGGGGCACACAAATAAGGAAACAGACCTCCGTTATGAAGGAAGGAGCTCCCGAAGCAGGAAAACAACAAGATAGGACATCAGAAGGCCTAAAGGCCAAATAAGGTGGTTTTAGTAGACCGAAACGGGCTGTTCCAAAATCGAAACGAGCCGTTTCGAAGCCTGAAACGGGCCGTTCCAATATCAGAACGGGCCGTTCCAACGTGACTAAAATCCTAAAGAGTCCTAGACTGGAACGGGTCGTTCCAATACCAGAATGGGCCGTTCCAAAACAAGTCAAATTTGGAATGGGCCGTTCTGTAAAGGGGAACTTTGTGCAACTTTCCACTCTAGAACGGGCCGTTCCAGGGTGCGTAATTTGCACATAACGACTAGCCCAGAACAGGCAGTTCTGAATCCAGAACGGGCCATTCTGGTCCCCTTCTGATTCCTATAAATAGAAGCCTCAGGCACAGTTCTCAAGGCGGCCAGAGA